CGACATAAATTGTAAATTAACTTATAATAACCTTTTGAGCTGCAGTACAGGTTCGGCGCGTGCTAGGCTTTTGGCCGTGGGTACACATGAGGCCGGCTACTGGCTTCACGCGTACCCTTCGACAAATACAGGCACATTTCTTGAGCCTGACACACTCCGAATGGCAACCTGTCTACGGCTTGGGGTCCCGGTCTGCGCTCCTCATAAATGTCCCTGTGGCAGTGATGTCGACAAGCTAGGACATCATGGACTGTCTTGCCAAAAAAGTGCAGGCCGCTTCTCGAGACACGCCGCACTTAACGATATCATACGCCGGTCCCTTGCCACCGTCAACGTGCCAAGTCTACTTGAGCCAACTGGTATTGCAAGAGACGATGGCAAGAGACCGGACGGTATGAGTTTGATTCCATGGAAGATGGGTCGGGTGCTAGTATGGGATGCAACCTGTTCAGACACGCTGGCACCTTCCCATCTACATGGAACCAACAACAGAGCTGGTGCGGCTTGTGAAGCGGCTGAAAAAGTTAAGGCAGGCAAATACAGGGGTCTAGGCTCCGAATATGATTTTGTCCCATTCGGTGTCGAGACCCTTGGTCCGTGGGGTCCTAGCGCTATAAGGCTTTTTAAAGAAATAGCGAAAAGATTAGTTGACATCACAGGAGACCGAAGAGCTGGCAGCTACCTCGGACAAAGAATAAGTCTAGCTATCCAAAGGGGGAACGCTGCCAGTATCTTCGGAACCTTGCCTAAAGGGACTCCTTTTAATAATGTATTTTAGTTATCATATTTTATTTTTTAAGGTTTTTAGTTTTAGGTTCATTGTTATAGTATATTTTTTGTTTTAATTATTCTTAAATTTATTCGGCGTAAAAAAACTAAATTAAAAATTCAATTTTGAAGTTGCAAAAAAAAAAAAAAAAAAAAAAAATAATATAGACTATTTTGTTATCTATTTTAACACCCCCACATAACAAAATAAATCAATTTCTTTACACACATTTTTTATTTAACCCTTATCCCCAGCATATGCATGAACTTATAATGCTTAGTAGATAAAAGACCTTTGGTCAACAAGTCAGCGGGCATTTCCTGTATTGAAACATATTCAATATTAATTAGTTTATTTCTAACTGCATCTCTAACATAATGAAAACGAACATCAATATGTTTTGATCTAACATGTGCCTGATGACTTGTTGCTAACTTAAGTGCACTTTGATTATCACATTTTAATTTAATTGCACAAATTTTACCACTAAGTTCATACACAAGATTTCTTAAGTAAACAGCTTCCCTAGACGTCATGCTTGAATATTTTGAAAACTTCATTCTTATGTTTGTGAAAGTATATGAAAGTCATACGACTGTGATCGTCAATGAATAAGACAAAGTATCAGTACTTTGTCTCCATAGGACCACATAGATCAGCGTGTATTATCTGTAGTGTTTCTGTACTTACTTGTCCAACATGATGAAACGGTAATCTCATTTGTTTTCCTTCATAACAGGTTACACATTTATTCATTGTCATATCACTATCTATATATATCTATCCGGGTAAGACAATCCATCCACAATGCCGTTCTTCATTTGTATCAAATCATTGCTGTTAATATGTGCTAACCGCCTGTGCCAAAGCTCTGCACTTGCAACAGCAGGTGCTGCCAGCATACAATCAGCTACTTTAATATTTAACTTGTACACTCCTTTTTTTGACACTGCTTTGGCTACCAACACATTCTTGTTGGTAGAATATAGCATTGGTTTTCTTCAAAAACAACTTTGTTACCGTTTTTGATTAATTCACTCACTGACAACAGGTTCGTTGTTAAGCTTGGCACGCATAGCACATCTTTAACCACGATATCATAGTTACAATTAGTCGATATCTGTACATTTTCGGAACACAAAACTGGTGCTTTCATATTATTTGCGACTGTTATCTCTGATAAATACGACGTAAAATTCGCGTTCTGTATCCATTCTTTGTTTGCCGTCATATGTACACTTAATTCACTACCTACGTACCATTCGTTAGTACTGTATTCTCCATTCAAAAATACCACGCTAAAAGCATTCCATTGCTTGTTTTTGTGCATTATGGGACATTGGTTTCTGTAATGACCGGTTTGTTTACATTTATAGCAAGTGATTGACTTGTCACCTGTCACTGTCACTTTCGAGTTTGTCGATGAGTTCGCGCCATTTTTAAACCTGTGATTTTTCTTCTTAGCAGCTAATGCAGCGCCACTGGAAGAATCTACGTCATTCTTTGAAACCTCCATATCAATTAACTTAGATTTTATTGCATCGGTAGTACCCTGAGTGCTCAATGGCCATAATCATCGACGAGAATTTTTCTGGCTAACCTGCTAGTAATAACGATCCGACCCATTCTTCGGTTATTGTAAATCCTGTGCCTTTTAATCTCTGAGCCGTTTCGACTACTTGCGTGACATATGAAGTCATGGACTCACAATTTTCTTGCCGTAACGAGATTAAATGTCTTAGTAAGGTTATCTTACGAACAAAACCTGAGTCATCAAACATATTTTTCAGTTTAATCCATAACTCCAAGGATGTTCTTGTTCCCTTAATATGCACGTACAATCCAGGGTCAACGGTTAAAACTAGCTTCGCCTTGGCTTTTGCGTCATCTGATGCTTTTGTCTCGAATGTAGCATCTGGCGCCGACTTGATATAGTTCACCAGGTTGTCGAGCACCAAAAGATTTTCCACAGCAAAACTCCACTCGTCATAATTATCTCGTCCTTTCAGCTTCGGAATGCTTTGAATATAGTTCACCGCCATATTTCTACGAAAAAACAACTATTTTCGACTGTTTTAAACTAAATTTACACAGTGTAAAACCGAAAAAATTGGATTTCTTTATGCTCATAACCTAAAATAATAAAACACGTTGATTTCCGTAATAGACAAACTGAACTGCTTTTGTTCACCAAGATAGGTACATATAAAAAATATAGATGGCGTTACTGTGACAATTACTATAGACTATTTTGTTATCTATTTTAGCATTATATTCTATTAATTCACATTATCACGGCTGAATTATGTCAGTGAATTTAAAGTACGATAAAACCCTTAATTAAATGCAAAAGGCATACATTTATAATAAGAAAAGATACACCTCTCACCATACTCTATAAGAGCTATACCTAACAGCAAATCAAGTAGGGGATTCCGACCTACTGATTGCTACTAGGTATAGTGCTGCGGCTGGCCTTGTACATTGTTTGTATTCAAAGAACTCTTGACACAATCGATACATAATTGATGCACTACGCACAAACTTACCTAAGATTCCGAAGACTCTATATCAGCACACAGTTAGAACTATATCAGCACACAGTTGTATTCTGAACATTAATTTTACCTTTACCTGTGAAGTTTTCGGGACTTGCTCTCAGGGGTACCCACAGAGTTAAATCATGTTACCCGATAAACAGGCGCCTATATCTGGTTGTAATCCTGTGTATATGAGGTTTATGTAAAATTTATCACATGTTAAGTATACGGTACCGAAAGCAGCATTCAGTATGCATGCTTGTTTCACTGGCGAAAGCACCTTGATTTAGTATAGGCTTTTGTTATTTTTCATAGAATTTCCTGCGCGTAACTTGTGCATAGTGTAATTCTTGTGTAGAAATGAGAGAAAGCAGAGGCCCAAGCGCGAACTTTGAGTGATTCGTAATCGTATCGTCATCGTCAAATATTGTATGGAAGAAGCCAGTTTGTCATAAATCCAGTAGGATCTCTGTTTAGTTTTCATTTAAATAAATCATATGTGTGACATAATAGTCGATTCCAAATTCCTAACTTCTAACTTGTGCTACGTTGCTTTTAGTTTCAAAATACCACGTTTAATATAACCACAAACCGACAGGACCTAACCCTAATGTGGGCACTTCACTTGGCTATTCGTATTTGCTATTTGTAAACTTGACAACAGTCTCTCTTTATCGTGCTTTATAGGGAATAAAAAGGACAGACTCATGATAAGTTAACAAATAGCAAACACGAATAGCCCAGTGAAGTTCCGGCATACTAAAATATAGGTAAGAAGATTGCTTATATAACTTTAAGTACATACTTTATACAACTACTAGTCGCCCGCCCTCGCTTTGCTTCGTTGTAGAGCTGTAGCGTAGACTATAGTTTTTGTTCAAAGGCTTGTATTATATACACAATGACTTTTTTCATAATAATTATAAACCATTCCATTCCAAGTAAAAAAATCGTTGCGTAGTTTAGGAACCCAAAGCAAAATTGCTCTGCTGTTCCGATTTGAAAAAATCTTTTTGTATTGGATAGTGCATTTATCGAGGAAGGCTATTGGCTATATATTATCAGGCTACAACCAGTAGTAGCGGAGCATCGATGAAACATGTTGCAAAAACGGGTAAAATTATTCCATTTGTGAGATTCCGTGGCGTGTGTTGGGTAAACGGTTAAAGTTACACAAAAATCATGTGTGACGGAATTCTTCCCCTTTAAAAGTTCTGTAAAAAAGTCCAGGACAGCCTATGTCCATATTTTAAGTTTGACTCACTATAAACTTTTTTCCTCAAATTAACGCGGGTGAAACCGCAGGGGACTTCTAGTTGTGACATAACTGTAATAGTTAGACATATGGTATTGCGGACTTTTTTGTAGATATTGGTAACCTTTATAAAACTTTAGTACATTAATTTGCTCTATTGTCAATGACTTCCGCAGCGAACGCGATATAAGGCTATTTTTTGGTATTTTTTACACACATTGGGTTACATTATCGAAGTTTTCATACGGAACCCTATTTTTTTGAAAATACACTATAGCTTATGTTAATCAGTCATAATGTAGCATTCAAATGGTGAAAGATTTTTTAAAAGTCGGTCTAGTTCTTTTTGAGCCATTTCGTCACAAACATACTTACATACACATCTTTCCTCTTTATAATATTAGTATAGATAATTCAATTTTGTTTCGACGTGTAGGTGGTTGCGGACCGAACGCTGAGGCTGAATGATGGTAACGACATACCGCTGGTTGCACTCGGTACGAGCCTGGGACATCTAGCTGATGTGAGTGCCGCGTCCTCTGGGGACCCCGTCCGACCTCGAGTAACCGACTTTTATGACGCAAAAATATGCGTCTTAAACAAATAAATAACAGTTAACTTGGAACGTCGAAGTAGTTTCACGTGTTTCGACACGGTATGTTTTGTAGACTTTTTGAATGTTCTAGTGAATCATAATATTTTTCGGTTTAGGTTCGGTAGTACCCACAAAATTATCTTTCGTGACGTAATAGATTTTCGTTCATGACATAATATTATTATTATGTGTAATCCTTCACTGAAGTATTGCTTTGACTTCACAAATACTCAAACTTATTAAAAACATGATGCATCCAACCATTGATCAAATAGCGTAGCAGGCTTTTGCTGTACTCATTAACCATTGAAGTAGAGCTGTTAAACAAAAACTTTAAACCGAATCCAAAAGAAAAACCCAAAAAGTAAAAGTAAACTTATAAAAGTATGTATATGCAGGAATATTGGTTTAGAATATTTTACATTATCATTTATATTTCTCATCGACTTTGCTGGCATACTAGTACAACATCTACTTTTCCGTTTAGCTTGTCTGTACCGCGAATGTTGTCCGAATAGATCGCTTTCAGCAATTAGACAGTGTTTGCTCACATTATTGTTACTGGTGTCTGTGTGTGCATTTTTTTGTATGTGAGCAACGAAATGTTTCTTATTATCATTAAATATATTAAGGCTTAAATTAATTTAGAGTTACTTCAGAAACTTTACTAGTTAATTCAGACAACAATTCAGGTAATGTTTCCAGAAAATTATTTTTGTATTAATTTTTATTTTGTAAAATGCTTCCAAGTTGACCCGCTAATTATGGAATTATGAGACCTTAACAATTTTAATTGTAATAAATTGATTCAAATGAAACTACTCTGAGGATCTGCGTACTTTAAACGCATTATAATTCCATAATGGGTAAGTAATTATGTAATTTACAAATTTGCGAGTTTTTTTTAATTTTCACTATTTTTATGTTTCTCAGGTTAATCAAAATTCACGGTATTTAATCCGTCCAAATATAAGAAAAGCATTTTTTTCGTAATCATGAAGGATTCCGGCATCTTTTCGTTTGTGGGTTTATCTTGCACTTGGCTGTTTATTTAATATGTTTCAAGTACTTTGCATAAATGAGCCTTTTATTGCGTATTTTATTTCGAATTGCTTACGTATAAGTGTACAAAATAATAAATAAAGCAGTATTTTCCTGTTTGTAAAAACACAATGCTGTTTCATAAGTTAATGTTTGTGATACCGTATAAGTTGAAAATAAAATGTTACTCTTATTACATCACAGTAACAAAAGATATTTGTTTCTTTGATGTGATAAATAGAAGAGGAGAGCCTGTTGATAGAAAAAAAACACATATAATTTATCTTTACTTCTTCACAAAGTTCACGAAAAGACATTGGATGGATAACATTTTATTTTTACTTATTTTGAAGACTGGTGCTTGAAATGGGATGTGTCAACTGCTTGTACAATACACTAGGACTGTCTAGACTCTAGAGTCTAGCCTAGAATTCTAAGCAAAGATAGCGATCAATTTGCGACCGTTGTTTGGATATTTTAGTCCCGAAATATGTCTTTGTCACCATTGTAGCTTTGACGAAATATTAAAATGTCTAGTTTCGTGCGCCGTTGACGTAAGAGCTCGGAAAATATTAAGGACTATACCTACTTCTTTATTTTAGATTTTATATGAATGTTAAGATTGTACCTGTGAGTTTTGGAATTTGTGTTGTTAGTTTTTTTGAGGTCTATTAAAAAAAATTCTTATTGGTTATAGGCTATGAAGTAGGACCCCAAGTTTCTTTTTCAAATGTTGGTCATGGTTTACTCCTATGAGGAGAGGTTTTATTGAAGGTCAGGGTATATAAAAAAGAGGAACAAAGACGTGAGTGAATTTTTGCATCACTCTAATTGACTTTGTTTCTTAAATAGTTGAAAAGAACATGTTTCTTTCATTACAAAACTATATATTAACGAGCTTTTAATATAGTCTATCAGTAAAGCACGCAAACAATTTTAAAATGCAAAAACATATCCAGTTCTAAATGAACCCGTCACAAATATCACTTTCTGATGCTGTCCGAAAACTGTCTCGTAACCCTAAGGCAACCTCCAACAACGTATGCTGGAAATACGTTTGAATATTGAGAGGTGTTAACGTCATGTCATGTCGCAGGGTACAAGGGTGTTGTCAAGTAACCATTCGTTGGCGCGCTCAGTACAATGGGCCCTGGAGGCCGGCTACAGGCACATAGACACAGCCGCTCTCTACAGAGTCGAGGACGAAGTCGGCCTAGGTGTTCGGAACTTCGTTGTGGACAATGTCGCCGATCGGAAGGACGTGTACGTCACAACAAAAGTGAGTTGGACCGTAAAGACTATTATTAAGGTACTTGGAAACTGTGAGCCTCTGTGTCCTAGTTTGCATGAGTTCTTGGTGTGGTTATGTATTTTGGTTGCTTAACTAATATCTAGCTTGACGGTATCTAAGGGCCAGTCAGTATGTGCCGAGATAGAAATGTGTTGTTTTTTGTGTAAAAATTATATTTTATTTTTATATCGTTATACTAAAGAGTGTGCACTGCGTGCATCTCAATTTGAAATGCCTTGAGGTGGTGGTAATGTCTCAAAAGTGCAAATACGTGAGACAGATCACCTTTCTGAAAACCACAGTAAAATAAACTTTTAGGTTTTCTGTTCTCCGTGGACTTCGAGCTTCGTCTTCTTATTGCTGGAGCGGTATATATTTATGACGTGTCAGCTAACTTTGCGTCTACACTCCTATATTTAACATGGGGGTAATATAACGCTACAATTGGACGTCGTAATGTATTGATTGCAGGCGATAAGTAGATGACCTATTTCTACTGTTTCTGGGAAATATTAAGAGCCAACCAAATGTTTTAAACATTAGCGACCGCGCGCGATTCTCGCATGACAGTCACAAATAATGTGACTTTCTATTGGTAAAAAAAATTCAAAATCGGTTCAGTACATCCTGAGATTACTTCACAAAGTACCTCTTTTTAATATAGGTATAAATTTTTAGCCGCTCAACATACCCATGTAATATGTAGGTATTTCTATCCGTTACTTCATCATAAGCCTTACAATTCTTACTTTGGGTGGAGGCTTTTTGGTGAGAGTGTAAGATACATTTATTTATTTAAAATTTGTACACTAGTTTGTTCTTGAGCTCCGTTAGCTCAAAATATCGGTCTATTTTCCATGCTATTTCTGTCTTTTAATATAATATTATAAAGTAATTATTATTTCATGATAACAATTGTTTCTCATGTGCTTAAAATGTTTTATCTAAGCTTTTCAAAGTCAAAATTCGACGCCGTTAATTTTTTTGCTGTGAATAAAGTCTATCAAAATGATGAAAGTGGTCAAGAAAAGCGAAAAGTTACCTCGAAAACCTCAAAAGGTCGTACTATGAACTTTTATAACGCCACACAAGTTGTTGTTAGAGTGAGACACCACCTACAGACAGTAGTGCGGAATCTCGCTTCAACCCCTATTTTTTTGCCTGGCATTAAGAGTTCGTAATACAGCCTCAGGTTGCCATTAGTATTCGGATGACAAGAATAATTTTGAGACCATTATAAAATGTTTGTTTCTTAATTTTGATGCAAATAAAGCTTATTAATGTTTACATTTAAAGAAGTAACAAATTACTTCTTCAAGTCTAAACGGCTGGAGCAATTTAAAAAAAATGGCATGCAGTCAGCTGACATCTTGGATTAACACATAGGCTACGTTTTACTGCGGGAAAATATCCCTAATAAACCGCGGGTAGCACCGCAGGGTACAGCTAGTAAACAAATAAATCAGTGCATCTATACCGTTGAGACTTCTTTTATTTATTAAGTAGTGTGCGTGAAAACCTAAGAAAAATCTACCCCCTTTATTATTTCCGTTTATTAATAATAAACGGAAAATAAGCCTGGATTACTTATTCTATGTTTTGCCTCTGTTAATTGAATGACAAACGTAATTTGATTGATATAAAGTAACTAGTCTAACCTATTTCTCGTTTATTAATAAGGGGGCTAGAGTTAAATGTTCAAAATAGTTAAATATATATATATACTAGTGGCCCGCCCTCGCTTAGCTTCGGTGTAGAGCTGTAGTGTAGACTAAAATGACTCTTCATATAGGTAATTATAAAAAAAAACTGAAAAGGTATATTTGCCTTTTCCAAACTTCTGTTGACATCACGTCACTCAATTGTTTAGCCTTCCCGGAACCTCTCCACTAACATTTGAAATTTATGATACGGTATTAAAGCTCAAATTGACTTTTAAGTATTATTATCGTTTGTATGGGAGTATAGAAAAGTGTTGTTTTTGGACTTTCCAGTCATTTTTTTTTAATTTTTCTCTGCGTAAGAACCATCCTCGTACTACAAGGAATATTCAAAAAAAAGAATTATCAAAATCGGTTCAGCTGCTCTCGAGATTTGCGCTTAGCAACACATTCAGCGATTCATTTTTATATTATAGATTAGTGTTTCGGATGACATTGTATAAAACTCTGTTCGTATGAGTGTAATTAAGTATTCACGGTTAGTATTACTACGTTAACATATATTTCAATGATGACTGACTCACAGAGACCCGGAAATAATTGTTGATACAGTAAAGGTCTAAAAGATGCCAAGTATAGAGCCACGAAATTATGCTTGATAAAAACCACACGTTTTTTATAACGGCAAGGGAATGAAAAGGGCCTTGTTACATGACAGCTGGCACTGATATTGCTCTCGTGGCATTAATTTTGTAAAAAAATATACAAAATATGTTGCCGTCTTTTGCACAGTAAGCATTCTCGTTTGCGTAGAATCACGTTTTGATCAAATTTGTAATTTTCACCGTATAATAAACAGTGCAATTATAAAAGGTACCTATGTAAGTCAAATCGAAATTCTTAAATTAAAGGAGAGTAGGCGAAAGTGGGCCAAGAACCAATACCGATACCGTTATGATATGTATGTAGGCATACCTCAACTACACTTAAATATGTACAAAAGGGGTATCAAAATCTGAACGCCGGTCGCGCCGGTAGTTTTGAGAATAATTACACTCTACAATACATTGTAATGTTTCTTATGTTTACTTACTTACTTTGTTAATTGTTATTTTAAATGCATTAAACTGCTACATTTATGAATCTGAAGAAAAGTTTGCTAGGAAAATAAACTACACGGCCATTAAGGTATCCGTTACATAATTAATATATAAAAAAATCTAACACACACACTAAATAGCCCCAATAAGTAAGCACTGTAAGGCTTGTAAAACTGCACTGTAAACACAAGTCCCAAGGGTTTAATTATGGGATACTAGCTTTTGCCCGCGACTTCTTTTGCGTGGACTAAGTGATTCAGATAGCAAATGTTTAATCAAATCTGCTTTTTCATCAATCTGATTACTATTAAAAAAATATGAAATAAGTGGATTTAAATTTGAAAGTGTCAAATTCGGGATAATTTATATTAAAAAAGCGGGACATTCCCTGCGCAATACAATGAGTGCAATTCAAGATCCAGTTACGAGTATATTGTAAAAATATACATTAATACTGACGTGGCTCAGATCGGTTTCAGAGCAGAATAGAGAAACTTACAAAAATATTATAAAAGACCTAAAATGGAAGTACTATGTCTTAGATACCTTCTTCTTTTCTCGCACCCCCGGTGGCTGAAGGATGCGTAAGTCATTTTCCAGACATAAAAAAACAAGGATAGAAGTTCTATAGCCGGTAAAAAGATTACTTAACGATGTGATAGCTTTAGAGGGTTTGTAAGTATTAGTAGTAATAATTACTGTGATTCATTAACAGATTAACAAAAAAGCATACATTTAGGAACCGGCAAAAAACTGTTGAATTTCATTTGATTATGGCAAAAATATGGATCGAAGACTTACAACATACTTTTCTGATAGGCCCAAGGGAAACTTGAGATAAAAGCACTTAAATGGCCCTTAGTAAAATTATCTGTGCACTACAGTAACAGAAAACGGTCTAATAATGACCAATTAATAATAATAATAATCTTTATTTGCAATTAAATATTTGTAAATACAATGTAAAACGTTAATAACTACATCGGTCAGAGACTATGTCGCAGTTATTAGCGCCCCACCTCGAACATGATAACTAGTAACAATAAACACTAAAAATACCAACACTAACATCTATAAAAGCGTCGTTGTGTGCATGTCTGTATGTTTGTGATTGTGTGTGCGTGTGTGTATGTGAGTATGTGTGTGTGTGTGTGTGTGTATCTCTGTGTATTTTGTAGGGTTAAATCATTTTTATTGAATTACTTTATTGTATAAGAGATTCGACATCTTCATATCGGAGACTAAGTAGCCACACATTTAAAACATTTTTACATTCACGATGTGGTATTGAGATAAGTATTTGTGCAAGTTTCAAGTCTATTATCCCAAGGAATAGGATTTTTCATGCAAACTTTCATCCTCTATTTTGACCCTTATGTGGGTTAATTTTGAAAAATATTTTCTTATTGCACCTCTAGACATCATTAGGAACCTACTTGCCAAAGTTGGAGTCTCTAAACCTAGCGGTTTGGGCTGTGCGTTGATATGTCTGTCAGTCAGTTTCTTCTTTTATATATTTAGACTAGTTGACCCCGCGTACTTCGTACGGGTTAAAATAATTTGGAAGAAATGACGGACCCGAGTCTACAGTAACAAAAGGGACGAACGGCAAATGTTTGACAGGAAAGAAGATACAACAGTTTATAAGGGAAAATTAAATTGACGTTTTACTATCTTCCCCGCTATTTTCCCATATTTTCTCGATTTTTAAACCTTCTGTAGACCTCCACGAGCATTTCAAGACCAAGATAAGATAAATCCGTTCAATCGTTCTCGAGTTTTAGCGAGACTAATGAACAGCAATTGATTTTTATATATAGGTACTTATAAATATTTAGTATATTTTTATTGAGAAATACATAGTATACTCGTATGCATCACATAAACATTTGCCCCACCGGGATTCGAACCCAGAACCAGGAGTAGGTTATAACAGACACTTTTAAACCCGGCGTGCATGCCACTCAAGCCACGGAGGTCGTCAGTTGTTGTCAGATAGTTAGGGCCAAGTAGATTTTTTTGTAAATTTTTCTTTAGATTGAGAGTTATACCTAATTACTTTTCAAGCTTTGGAACGATGCTCACGAAAGAGATGAAGTGATACCAGCTTTAAGAGAATCACTGAAACAGTTGCAGATGGATAATGTGGATTTGTACCTGATGCACTATCCCATGGCGTACAAGGTTAGTACATGATAATGTGTCCAGATTATTAGTTGATTTTAAGGATACTTACTGTTTTATTTTTCATATAAAATATATAGTTTTAAGATGTCTGCTCTTTCAAAGAAAGATTACATTTAATCAGCAACAATTATTGTACGTCCATTTTTGGGATGATGACGGGGTTAACTGAATAAAATTTTACTTAGTTAGTCCGTCAGTAAGATTATCAAGATATTAGACATTTATTTTTATTTTTTTCAATCAGCCAAAAAAAAATTAAACTAAAAATATACTGACTTCAAAATCTACTAAAAATTAAGTGGTTCATGATTTGGAAGTCGGGCGGGGTCATAATTGAAACACGTAGGTTGGTCATTTTCACGACAAGGTGTTCTTCCAATAATTTCCGTCACGATATATAATCATCAAATTCCTTGCACTGGCAATAAAATTTGTAAAACACGTTAACTTTATAAATTATTGCATTTAGCACTTTAATTAACTATTTGGTTTTGGATTTATGAAGTGATGTACTTTTGGGCTTGACGAAATATTAGATTCGCAGTGATGGACTATTAAGAATAGCTCAATAAATTATGAATTTCTGCTTAATAAAACAAACATGGAAATAATCGATATAAAAAAACATAGCTCAGGTGTAATTGGCCAAAAGAAAAACTAACCAGTTGTGTGAAATAACAAGAAAAACAACATCCTCGGTACTTTGTATTATACAACAACTCATTCGGCGATAATCAATTCATTCATTATGTATGTTTCAACAGAATGAAATGATAACAAACAGTAGTTTTTAGGCATCTTATATTTTTCTTCACGTTTTAGCGCGACAACGCGATACGCTAACGGTGACGGAAATGATGAACACAAGGTTAATTTTATTTAAAAAATAAAGGTTAATCATATTGAATAATGCTTTAAGGATGAATTCAATGTTTCATTTGTGAAAAATAATCATTTAACAAAAAAAACCAGGCATAATAAAATAAAATTAAACATGCGAACGGAAATTAGTCAAATCGTAAACCATGCGAATAGAAATTACTTTCTTATGTTATCTAGTGCGACAGTAATTTCTTACCAGTGACAGAAATTGGGTAAAATAAGGGACAAGCTTATTTTTTGTTATATCTAAATAAAGACAATTTTGGACAAAATCCTAAGATAATCGCGAAAGTTGGTCACACTGGAGCAACTTCAAATGTTTGTGTTGGTGATTGCCATTCTATGGTACACAGAGCTTGCTAGTTGCTGCATTTGAAATAGCCTACGTCTAAACAGTTTCACTTGATAGAATCCGGAGTCCCATCATCAGGCTTAATCGTTTAGAACTGAAATTATTATGGACGATCGCATACATAATTAATGGTCGACAAATAAATATGCATTCGCATTTTAATGAACTTCGAATATTTATGCAAATCCATTTGAATTTATTTGGTACATTCAGGTTGAAATTGAGTTTTGATCGGCGTTTTAAATGTTTTTTATTCGACAGGTTCTTTTTCATTGATGAATTATGATTTAATTATTTAACCATGCTCGTATGTATAAACATAATACCTCTCTTTTTTAATACTTCACACCTAGGCTGAAAAGTGACAGTCAAAAAGTTATGCTACTGCGGGTGACCTTTATGTTCAGAAAGCCCGGCTAAAACCAGCCACAACAGTGATAAAAAAAATGGCGAAGTGTCATCAACTAGGTGATGAAGGGGGGGGGGGGGGGGGGATCGTAAGTCTTAGGTTTAAGGGTCTCCACACAACGGTATTAAATACCCTAGATACAACAACACGAACCAAATCGTGGCCGAAACCTGAAGCTCCGTAAGATGATCGCGAAGGTGGTCAAAAACAATATAAGGCATTATTAAACATTAAAATTTACCTTTAATGTATACTGTATAAGATCTTAATTAAAACGCATGCGTCAAAGAGTTATGACAGTTCGAAATGCAAGCTCGTAAAATTTTACGACTCATTAAAATGCTATGCGGTACAATATAGACCTTATTTCTTTGACTCTACGCACAATTCTGAATACGCTGTTAGCAATATAGCAGGTACGGACGGCGAGGAAAAGAGACGGACCATGCATTTATATTTTGTACTAATATTTACAACAAATATTCACTTACAATATTCACTAACAAAAACAATATTCACTCAAAATCATAAATATTTACAACAACAGAAATCACAAATTTTTTTTATTAAATCAGTTTATAGTAAGACTTTGAACAAAATTTGCTTCAAACTCGTTAAATTAACAAACATTGGTTAGATACCTGTCCAAAAATCGACACTTTACCTAATATAAGTATTTTTTGAGAATGCGAAATTTTTTTACGGAGCTCTGCGGCATCTTGACTTTTCAATGGTCCGCGCGTGACTGTGAACCAAGTTAAACTCAAAATGTGTCCCAACCAAGAAGTGCTTGAACACCATTCAAGCACTTCTTGGTTAGGACACATTTTGAGCGCACGTGGTGTATTAAATATCCTAGGAATTTGTAGTTGCTCCCACTACTTCGTTGCCGGCCCTGTAAACCGATGATCTCTAAACCCCCTTATTAATATAAATTATTAATAAACAAGGAATAAGCTTAGACTAATTACGCTGTGTTTTGTTCATCTCACACAAATGCCATTTGTCATTCAATAGACAGAGACAAAACATGGAGTAACTAAGCCAAGCGTAGTCTTCGTTTATTATTTTATTAATACACTGTAACGTAAAGGTCAGTGCGCTATGTTTTTGCACGCGAGCTGTAGACGGGCGTGTGTGCACACAATAGCTGGTTTTAAACATTTTCAGTAATCCTAGCGCTAAATTCCGCCGAGCTAGAATTTCTATATATAAAACGCACGGTCGGCGTAAGTGGTTGATTTGCTATCTCGAATAATGTGTATTCGATGGTGATTGGCAGGCAACAATTATCTCGTTATCTCTTACATACACTACGTTACTCCTTGTTCGTCCTTACTCGGGCATTATTCGGACAAGCAATATAAGTACTTGAGTGTAGCGTACGTAGCATCTAAGTAGTCTGTGGAGTAGCGGGAGACGGTGCACTAATAATAATCCGACTGTCCGATTAAGACCTCGCGTTCTGTACGTTACTTTTCGTAAAGTGCCGAGTAACGTAACCTATTTGTACTTAGTACTCGTACAAAACAAGACTATTAAAAACTAAATAAATGCGTAATTTTAGCTTGAGGGATAAGACATTATTTTTAATAATGAAACCACTCAAGAATTATTTTGTAAATAATCAAATGCCTTTATTTAAAAAAATACTTAGTTATAAAGAATAGGAATAAGTAACTAAGTGATGAAGGTTTTATTTCTGTGCAGTTTTTGAGTAAAGTAAGTCTGCATACGCAAACAATTTACGACGATTCCTTTACTTTAATATTTAGTTGTAGCACTTGGCTCTAGTTCGTATGTTCCGCTGTTTTAGGTACCTAGTATGTAAATATTGGGAAGAAAATATGAAAATTTACCTCCATTTTGCCTACAAACGACTCTTTGGAGGCGTAGGGTCGCAGGAATGATTTTCGTACCTGCAAAAGCGTCTATTGATGGCACAGATATTGATTCAGAACTCATCATTTCTGTTTACTGAAACACAGTGGATTGTTTAGTTTATATTTTCTCGGTTTATCGTGAATAACCTATGAACTCAATATAGGTATGCAAACTGTACATCTAGCATGAACCAATATCTATATAGATTCGATTTTTGTGCTGCAGAGGAGAGCTATTCGATCAATTTATAATATTAAATTTAAAAAATCCTTAAGAGATAACTTTAAATAATTTGGCATAATGACGGTCGCATCACAATACATATACGAAAATTTATTATTTGTAAGAAAAAATATTAATCTGTTTCTTAGAAACAGTGATGTTCACACACTTAATACAAGTAATAAAAATAAACTAACTTTACCTGCTACTCGGCTTCACATGATCAATTATTCATTTAAAGGTCTTTGTGTTCTACAATAAAGTCGCTTATACAATAAAGTCCCAAGCAATATTTAAAAATTTACCATAAAAAAAATCTAAGATACTATAAAAAAATACTTGTTGAAAAAGCTGTTTACAAAGTTTCTGATTATATTACAGACAAAAATATTAGGGTTTGAACTGTTCCACTTATTCCAACAGGTTTTTTATATGAAATAAATCATGATTGTATTGACGTTGTAACAACATAATGATTTGTAAATGTTATTAAAATATACTCTTAATGTTGTGGAGTTTTTTGCTCGTTTTCCTCTGCAGCTAAAAAATATGTCCAATAACGAGTGGCAGGGAAAAACATTTGTGGACGATTCAAAAGAGTTTGTTCAAAAACACATCCAATTTGAATATAAAAAATGCTCGTTTTTATCAATCGTTATTATTTTTTGAATTTTCAATGGCAATCTGGGTATTTTTTTTATTAGATGTGACTAAGATCGTGGGCACGTAGTGGCGTATCAAAATGTAATAATTATCAACGTTTAATTTGAGTTTTGGAGCATTTAAAGGCAGGCAAAGTTATATGGACTTTTAGCCAACATTGCCCACTACGATTTCTGACGACAGTATAGCCTCTACGTAAAAATCTAAAACACTGTTGGAAGAATTAAAAAAATATGGCGTTTACTTTAGAAACTAAAGTGATAAACAGGAAAGCATTCTTGTAAAGTGACTGAGCAATGTTAGCCTGTAATTTTTTCTTTTTCCCATAGAATCTGCATTTGAGCTATCGAAATTGCTAGGGCTGACACAACCACACATTACATTTTAGAAAAAAGATTGATTGATTATTATTTTTTCTACAAAAATATGTGATAAGGTAAAGAAATAAAAACAAAATATAACCTATAAGCTTTTTATTGTAATATTCTTTTTTTCATTTATATTGACTTCAAGTAATACCTAAAATGTTATCATTACATATCCTTAATTAACTTAAATTATGAATCAATATTTAATATACTTAGGGATAATAGTTACTTAATAGGGATGATGACTATTTTTTTTTCTTTGTTTATCAGGTAGATTATCAAAAAGTATTGGACACGTATTTTTTCTTTTTTCACATAATATAAACATTGCAAAGATATATTGGTAAGGTTTGAAAAGTCGCATGACGTCACGTTTTGGTACAATTTTCACATAAAAGTGACGTCACGAGCCCCTACTCCCAAACTTTGACGCGCTATAACTTTGTCATTTTTAGGTTGATTGAAAATACGTGTCCATTATTTTTTGATCATATAACTGACAGATTAGAATTTCGTTTACTGTACCCAAAAGTATACCAAAATTTGCCTGCAAAAACACACATTTTAAAGAGCTTCCACACATTATTATGTTAAGCTAGCAATACACAGAATAGTTTGTAATGCCAGAAATATAACCTACTTTCACCGAAGTTAATCCATTTTGCCATAATATATAGATATTTTTGCACATCAAAAATTTCTTTGTAATATGCTAAAATGGCAAAGGTACCATAAAGATGTAGGCAATGTTGGCGTATTTCACGGTATTTTACTTTCAATCCATAACATCCTTTCAATCGCACTGTCAATCATATTAAAGCAATCCGTGAAGGCAACTGAATACCTTTGGTCTTTGAATAAATTGTTACAATTCTTATCGACCTTGTAATCGTAATATGACGCTTATAACTTTTTTCTGTCATGGCAATCTCATTTGTGAAGAGTAAAGGGGTTGTCACTATGAGAGGTAAATGCGGTTCAATAAAAGGGCATGGAGGATTATTTGCTCGAATTGTAGCGAATTTGAGGTGAAGTAACCTATACCCGAAGAGTTCGATAGCGTAGGTGCTTAGCGCGTTTGGTCTGCGTTTGTGGAAGTTAAGCAACTTACGCAATGGTCTATCATTGGATGGGTGACCAAAAATTCAGTATCGTGAACACCTCCTTGCTTCGGAATGTACGTTAGCCGTTGATCCTGGCTGCAGCTGGGGTCGTTAGCACCCACTGGGCCTACGTGGTGGGTCATGGCCCAATCTCCTTATTCCATCCATAGGGAAGCTTTCTGCTCCAGCAGCGGGGACATTAATTAATATGCCGATGATGATTATGACCTTACAAAAGATGAAAGTGATATAAAATTGTGATGTTTGTTGGAATTGTTACTGATAGTGTGTAAGGTTCAAGGACTCCACGGGGTAGAAGATTGGGTTCATGCCGGCAAGGTAAAAATCCACTTAGAATTAACATCAGGTATGGCAGGGCGTTGGCCCTGCCCGATTAAACTATAAAAAAACCTAAAACACCTACACCTAATGGGTTGGGTTGTTAGTAAAGTTTATTTTCCATTGTATGACTTTCTTAATTACTTTTCGTAATATCAATCAACTAAAGTATTAGATTTATTTAAATAAGATTGATTACCTTGTCGTCGACAAGTTATGACGTCACCGAGAGAAACTGGAATTCATTTATATATAAATAAATAGATAAAATCTTCTTACTCCTTTGTGTTATAGTATTTTTGGCTGATATCTACCAATCCCGCGAGGAATATAGGTAGATCGTGAATCTATGCGTTCTTTCATGTACGTTAATGTATCACATTATATATTCGTAAGCCGACTTAGACACAGCCGAGAGAGGACAATGTGATTTTTTCACTTTTTTTTTGAGCAATCGTCATTTATATGGCAGTCGTAAGAGTTAAGTTTGGATTTAAAAAGTATAAAACGTACCCGGTAACATTTTAATTACAACTTATGCTAAATGACGTCGAAATGTAGATCTGGAAACATCATTATAAAATATCGTTTTCAGAGAGAGTTAGTTCGTTTTTTTCATTTCACCTACTAATGCTAATGTTATAAATGTATGTTTAATAATGGAGCATCCTTAAAATAGACATATATTGCGTTTCTTAATGTGATTAGGCAATAATGGGAAATAAAAAGCTTCCCTATAAATCTAGTATTTGTAAGTACGCTAAAGTTATAAAAGTTGAAAATAAAATACTTAAAAAAGTGCGGCCATTAAGGTCAGAATAAAGCTAAGGCTAGATCCCTCTGCCCGTGTTGCTCTATGACTTATAACGAGTCCAAAATGTTGATCAGCAAAAGCTTACTTTGGTATATTATCTATGGATTTATTTAAGTATATGATGTACACTGTAGATATAAAAAAGAACATGTTTTTTTTTAAAACAAAAACTCTTTTTTATAAAAGAGTTTGCTTCCGAATACAGAATCGAAGATTAAAGGCGGGATAAGAAGATCATGAGGCCTATCACATAAAAGTTTACAAATTTTAGACCCTTTTTAATTTCGTCCCACATTTTAATTTATATGTGAAATTCTGCTAACTGTACTTCCCTTCAATATGAAAAAATTGCAGATTTTAACAGCTGAATAAATTCTCATAAGTGTAATAAGGTCTAGGAACGGTCCAACGGGAAAATATTATTTCTTGGGCCCAACTCACTCACCAGCTCGGTTAGAATAACATCATTTATGTGAGGAATATTAATAAAATGCGAAAACATCACTTCGGGGGTTTGGCTACCCTTTAGGGAAAATCTCTTTATTGTCTTTGTTACGATTCAAAGAAAGAAATTAAAAATGTATTTTTACGTGACTTTATTTACTGGAAAACGATACACGATGACGATGTTAAATTAGATCTAATTTCTTTATTATAATTTATAAACAAATATACAAACATTATATGCAAAATATATTATTATATATTAAAACCAATTAATGTTTTCAGAAAGACGGAAGGATCAGTATTACTGACTACTTAGAAACGTGGAAGGGTATAGAAGACGCTAAAGACAGAAATCTCACGAGATCCATAGGAGTATCAAATTTCAACCTCACGCAAATGCAAAGGATTTGGGACAATTCCCGCATAAAGCCGGCGGTCTTACAAATCGAGGTCGGTATGAAGAAACTCTTTTATTTTTCGTAATACCCTTATTTTATCGTTATTTTTATACGTAGAAACTTATTTTTTATTTACGTTAGTGATCGTAATCAGACCATCAAAGGGATGAACAAATCTTCGAGATTGACTTTATTTTTGTTACCAAAGATTTTTAACAAGCTAGGCAAGATTGATAATTCTTGTTCATTAAAAAAATGATAAGTAGCATGTAAGCCTGCTTTTATAATTACCTGTATACTCCGTCCTATTTATACCTAAACATCTGAATGGCGGCTAACCCGAAAATCTCGATATTAATTAATGAGGTATTTTCTATAGATAGTATTCAATACGTTAGCTAATGGTCATTCAGGAAATGATTGGATCATTACGCACCGGATTTTTGTCATGATGCGTATAATAAGAAGGAAGTTGCCCTTCTCACAAAATACTTTTAAAGATTTCTCTTTATAAGAAATTGAGGTGGCTTCATACTGCCTGCCATTTACCATTCGCCTGCCCGTGTTTGAATTCTTTTATTAAAAAGTGGAATAGTTTAAAAACCAATCGAACGATATTCTTGGACGAAGTTTTCAGATGCTCATTTCAAATTTTTATAATGGAAATTATAAAGCTGAGAATGGCTGAATAAACCAATACTTAGGTTTACAAAAGTAGAGAGAATTGATAGATTCTTAAATTTTATTTAACTAAATTTTAGTTTGACTATCAATCTTTCTAATTTGATTCCACATACGGATAAAATATAATTACCTATATATTGTTTTATTAGTGATCATTGTCGAATGTGATGAAAGTTTTACTATATAACTCTTCTTCTGGCGCATTCGAGTAAAAAGTGGCTATAGGTGTCAATAAATTCTTAGATTAATAGTCCAACGTTACAGAGTAGGAATTTCTCATACTGAATTTTAGGCGAAAGAAAACGTGTCAATTCAGCAATTACACATTTACGTGACAGAAAAATCTTTGGTCCAACTGGCAGTGGCCATAATTTTAATCAATCAATAAGGATACGAACCATTCAAGGACAATTTGAGCATGGAAGAGGGCATAGTTAGAAGCTATATGTAGTTTATATTTGTATATAAGAATGCATTAAAGATAAAGACCAAATAAATAAAACCAACATTACACTAACGATTGAAGACGTAGTTATACTCAGGCCCCTTTATTTGTTACATAGTTAGAGTTGACTATTAGCACATGTCACGTCAAATACATCATCATCATCAACCTATGCTCGTCCACTGCTGGACATAGGTCTCCCCTAATGCACGCCACTGCTCCCGATTTCCCGCCACAAATCGATCTAATACATAGTAAAATGTATCAAATTTTGACAAGTGGTTACTTTTTCCATAGTGTTCTAACTAAAGTCACATAGTCATATTTAACTATGTATTAAACAACATGGGGCCTTAAGAAGGAATAACCTCAGTACAGTTAAAATTTAGACAGGTCGGATCTAAATCAATAGGACCTTATAGGATCACTAGCTACAAATTGTGTTTTTAGTATATTTTTATCAAAGATTATGATAGGCACAACGTTTTGTTAAGATAGTTTAAAATTAAATAGGAACAAGACCTTCATGGTTCTTTGTGGTAGGTGCTAGAAAAATGTCAGACCTCCGAGTGATCATTGTAGACAGTGTTACGGGTCTAATCTTGTTCGCGTTTACTCCAGGTGAACCCGTCTATAACTCAGGAGGAGTTAGTGGACTGGTGTCGCAAACACCGAGTTATTGTAATGGGATACACTCCGTTCGGCGCTATACTGGGTAAATATATAACATCTATCTAATAGATCCAACCTAAAGGCGGTTCGAAGGAAATTGGCTTAAGCCAAAATGTAATTGAAATTTGTAAAATTTGTTTTGTTTTTCTTTTTATAAATTTTGCAAATTTGTTATTCGAATTACGATTTCAATGAAGCGTTTGCTAACTTGAACTAAATATAAAACTTTGCGTAGGTACCTAATTAAATTTTTTGAATATATTTTATCTAGAAAAAAAACAAACAAAAAATTCATTCTTGTAATCCGCTTTTTGCTGGCTATTCCCTTTACTCCATTGAAGTAAAATTAATTGAAAAGCTTGATCTTGTAACTTTTGGTCACCCATCTTTTACCCCAAATTTTCGAAGAAAGTTTCTTAAGTTATCGATATTACTACTGCACCATTCATTGGGCTGTTAATTTTTAATAAGCACAAAGATTATGGTGTATTTCTCAGGTCGCAAGGAGAACGCGCCTGCTCCACACGCAGATGACCCAGTACTGTTGCGACTTGCCTCTAAGTACAACAAGACTGTGGCGCAAATACTTCTTAGATACCTTGTGAGTATTTAAAATTTTATTTCAAGAGCAGCGGGCTGTTTTTTTATATTCCAAATGCAAATTTTGTGCATGCATTCAATATTTCAGCATAGAATATAAAAAAATGGTTTGCTGAATTTTATTGACCTAAAAATAATGATAAGTACTATTCAATATTGTTCCTTTCTAATAATAAATAATCTGCTTTAGTTTAAGCGGCAAAGTGCAGTATGTGTATTGTAATGTATTTAACAAATATGGAATTATATCTATGTAGGGTACACTGCACCAACTTTTGCCCCCCCTGCAATGATTGGCCCTCTTATATTTTGACTAAATAAAAAGGAATTTATAATATAAATAAAATAGTTAACACGATAGCTTTTAATTATTCTTAGCTGGCAATTCTTCAATATTCAGTAGATAATTGACCTTTACAAATGGCATTTGTTTGTCGCCGTCGCTATAGATATGTTAAAAACACGATATACTAATTGTTTAATTTTTTCGACAAAATGAGTAAAATGATACATAGCTGAAAATTGTATTTTAAACTCTAGTTTCACCTAAATTCAACAAATAATTAAAATTTTGTTGTGCCAATCTTTGGTATAATCTCGAGTATGACTGTACAATCATTAGCAATCATGTATATCACTGCAACGTGTAATACTCGTATTTTTGCTTTTAGATTTATTTTATATTTATTATAAATCACATATTTGAACCATATTAGCATCATAGCACACATATCAGCTGCGCTCGACCGCATATCGCAGGAGGATAGCACGTTTGGCCTGCAATCGTCGAAGTTAAGGAACTTTCGCAATGGTCGGTCATTGGATGGGTGACCAAAAACAAATTATCTCGATTACCTCCGTGCTTCGGAAGGCACATGACGCCGTTGGTCCCGGCTGAATCGACAGTCGTTAGCACCCATCCACTCTGCGCTCGCGTGGTGGGTCATGGCCTAATTTCCCTATTCCATTGTATTCCATCCATAAGATTCTGTGCCTCAGCAATGTCTAGTCTCTTGCTTAGCTAGTTAGATAGGTAACTAGCTAAGCAGCTATGCAAGTAACTAGGCAACTAGCTAATAATCTAGACAAGTAAAAGAAGTGCGTAGTTATTGCCTAGATAGCTGCTTAACGACTCCCCGACCACTGATGACGGCTAGCTGCAAATAGGCATTCAGCTAGGCTGGTAGCTAGGCAACTAGCTAAGCAGCTAGCTAGGCAAGCAGCTCGGCAAATAGCTAAGCAGCTAGCTAGGCAACTAGTAGCTAAGCAGCACGCTAAGCAACTATCTCAACAGCTAGCTAGGGAACTAGCTAAGCAGCTAGCTAAAAGCTAGCTTAGGCAGATAGCCACACAACTAGCTAGGCAACTAGCTATGCAGCTAGCTAGGCAACTAACTAAGCAACTAGCTAAGCAGCTAGCTTAGGCAGATAGCCACACAGCTAGCTAGGCAGCTAGTCAAGTAACTAGGCAATAAGCTAACGATCTAGATCAATCTGTGTACCAATCTATCTAGCTAGTTGCCTAAAACCATATTAAAATAATAAAAAACAAATAAGTTATATAGTAAACTAAGGAAATTAAGCCAAGTACCGAAATTATGGATTAGATTCAGGTATATAGAGCATGTAGATTAACAGATAGTTGCCTGTTTTTAAAGTTAATGCATAAGAGTAACTTTTAAAATCAGGTGTCCTCTATGCATTTCCGGTTATAATAAGGTACTCTGTGACGGAAACTGTGTGATGATTGTGAATGAGCCACAGATTAGAGAGAATTTTTAAACTCTCGTTATCCAAAGAAAGCTAAGAGATTTAGGTTATATAGCCATATATTCAGTAGTATTATTATTTTTGTTATGTTTTTAATATAACCATATTTTAGATTTTTGTGTATCACACCTTATATTTTAATTTATTTATTAATTTATAGTCAGGCAACGTAGGCCCATACCTTAAAGTCTAACATAAATACAGATTATATTGTGTTTATGGAGGTGTTTGGCGAAAAATGTATGGCAATAGACTTTATGATGTCGCCTACCATCTATAATAATTGTCTTAGCACATTTGCATTTAGTGAAAATGATAATATAGTTGCGTATATTAATACCACAGTGTAATAAAAATAAATATTCATTTTATCGATCTTTACAAAATAGATTTGTTTTTATGTTATATAAACAACTCCAATCAGTCTTTGGCTGAATGTAACTACACCCATAGCCATTAAAAATGATTCGTATGTTTTCCAAACCATTAAAATTAAAAGTCCTTTTTAAAGTAAATATATTATACAAAGGTGTCCGTTGAAATCCAATGACTGTAAATTAAATTATAAATTACGCCAAGAATTACCGTGTATGTCAATATTTTTTGTGCATTTGGGCCAATTTGAGCAATCTCCTTTTCGCCTATCCGCCATACGAAAATTAACTTCGTTCCAAAATAGAACTCTTGACTAGGAGTGCCTTTGCAGTGGCAACGCACACAGCGAAGCTTAATCTGCGTTGCGCTCTCGATCCGATTTAAAAAGATGGACCCAGTATTCTTTTTTAAAACTTCTACCTTCGTCCTTAAACTTCATGTTAATTACAATACTTATGTATTATATTTACCTATACTATAACTTATGTATAGGTGAATATAATAGAATTAAAAAAATATCCAGTGCGACTGTGCGAATCACCGATGTACGAAGGAACCAATTATTGTCTCTCGAGGGTCACACATTTGAAACTTTCTGGTTATTATTATAATGCATTAAAATAGATCAAAATCAACCAAAAAAGTAATATATTTTAACAATAGTCAATAGAATACAAATAATTAATTTATTACAGACAAAGAAATGAATATTCGGCTTAAGGGGCCAATCATTATATATGATCACTAGAGGATCACTCCCTGATTAATGATCGTCAATATGGATTTAGACCGAAACGATCGACGGGTGATCTTCTAGCGTACTTAACTCATATCTGGGGTGAGGCTATCGACAAGCGTGGCGAGTCGCTGGCTATCAGCCTTGACATTGCCAAGGCGTTCGACAGGGTCTGGCACAAAAGCCTTCTCTCCAAGCTTCCGGCATACGGTCTGCCAGCCCAGTTCTGTTCTTGGGTAGCTGACTTCCTGCATGAGCGTAGAATTCGTGTCCTTACGGATGGTAGCAGTTCGCGGTTCATGTCAGTGAATGCCGGCGTTCCCCAGGGCTCCGTCCTATCCCCCACTCTCTTTCTGCTGCATATCAATGACTTGATTCCTCTTGGGAATATTCATTGCTATGCAGACGATAGTACAGTGCATGCGGAGTATCTCGGACAAGCAGCGGCTGGGCAGGCAGTAACCAGGGAGAAACGGGAAAATCTTGTCATTGAACTCAATCAGGCTTTGGACCACATTTCCGAATGGGGTACCAGGAACTTGGTTGGGTTCAATGCCAAGAAAACTCAGGCTTGCGCTTTCACGGCAAAAACATCGCCATTCCTTCCCCTTCCATCTCTTCAGGGCACAACACGGTAGTGTTGTGCCCTGAAGAGATGGAATAGTCTGCAGCGGTAGCTGCAGAGCAACATTTCCATGCTCGGTATGGAGGTTCGCTCAGACCTGAATCCAAAGGACTACATCGAAACCGTGATCAAAACAGCTTCACGCAAACTCGGAGTCCTGAACAAGGTGCGGCGTTTTTTCACGCCCGATCAACTAGACATGATAACAAGGTCAGTACTTAACAGGGGGTGACAGAGCGACGGGGGTGCAACCCCAAATTATTGTGGCATTATACCAACACTGGGTTATTGTCGTATATTATACTAAACTGTGGTTAAGTCCAGGGGGGTGGCAGAGCGACGGGGCTGCATTACTGGATTATTGTTATTGAACTCAATCAGGCTTTGGACCACATTTCCGAATGGGGTACCAGGAGCTTGGTTGAGTTCAATGCCAAGAAAACTCAGGCTTGCGCTTTCACGGTAAAAACATCGTCATTCCTTCCCCTTCCATCTCTTCAGGGCACAACACTACCGCTGCAGAGCAACATTTCCATGCTCGGTATGGAAGTTCGCTCAGACCTGAATCCAAAGAACTACATCGAAACCGTGATTAAAACAGCTTCACGCAAACTCGGAGTCCTGAACAAGGTACGGCGTTTTTTCACGCCCGATCAACTGTGCTTGTTGTACAAAACGCAAGTGCGGTCCTGCGTGGAATATTGCTCGCACCTCTGGGATGGCTCCGCCAAGTACTTGCTCGATGCTTTGGATAGGTTACAGCGGCGCGCGATCCGCATCATAGGCGATGAGGAGGTGACTAAACACCTTGAGCCTCTTCAATTACGCCGTGACGTGGCGTCACTAAGCGCGTTCTATCGTTTGTACCACGGCGAGTGTTCTGAGGAGTTATTCTCTCTTATCCCACCTTCCCCTTTCCTTCAGAGGACCACGCGCGCTGGCCTACGTTGTCACCGTCTTACTGTGGCCACAATTCCAACGCGTACAAAGAAATTTGGTGACTCATTTCTTTGTCGCACTATCCGTAAATGGAATGCTCTGCCCGCTCACGTGTTCCCTCCCTCTTACAACCTGGGATCCTTTAAAAGAGGCGTGAAGAAGCAACATTCAGGCCGGCAGGGTGAGGATGGCTGGTGTGGCAGGTAGAACTGCTGTATCAGCTATCTTCGCATCTGGACTTCACCTTCACTTAACATCAGGTGGGGTGGAGTCATTTGTCGAACCTAACTATAAAAAAAAAAAAAAAAAAAAAATATAGTCTGCCCTATGTTTGTTTGTACATAAGGCAGACCAGAAAGTTATTTACATGAGATTAACCGCTGTAGTTGGTCTGCAATATTGTTAATTTTATGGATCCGCCCATAGGGACTGCTTTTGAACATACAACACTGTGACTTACTACGCTGGGAATATTTGAACTTGAGTTACTCTATAAGACATGTATTTTATTTTGATTCTTATTTGTCTTTATTAGTGTTTAACAGTCTATATGTATGTTCCTTTGTGGCACATAAAGCAGCATTTAAACCTTTAGGGGCAACCCCTAAATTCTATGTCAATGAAAACTTGGGTAACCTTCCCTTTAGCGTTGTTCCTATTCGAAATATCATCTAATATTTATTCAGTGCGTGTATTTTTATCAAATTAATTTTGGGTTTCCAAACAGACCTTTCTAAGACGGCGCCTATTAATAACTTCTTTCATAGAAGAAAAGCAATCAAAAGTTAGTCGAGAAATTATTATTATTATATTCGAGAAAGTAACCGGCCAAGTGCGTCGTGCTACGCGCAGTGTAGGTTCCGTAGTTGCTTTGCCGCAATATATTTGAGCAGGAGTCTTTATTTACTGTATCGGCAATTTAAAAAAACAATTTTAAATAGTTTTTTTTTAATTTGTTTTTCATTGCTGTTTTGCTCTACAATCACTTCATCTATATCACTATTAATGTTTTTTTCTAAGGAATTTTCAATAGGTAAGAAATTTTCTTTGACCAAAGTTAAACGACTGTTACTCTTAAAGTAACAAATCTATCTTAACCGTTATAATTTTTCTTAAAAGTTTATGAAAAGCACTATTATTATGAAGTATTTCCAGAATTTTTAAGACAATGTTTTAGCTTTTAGAGGAGAGGGGGAGGGGGAATGGGGAGGGGGCTTGCTACCCTAAAAAAATATATTATTCAAAAATTTATTCCACCATTTTGAAGGTGTGTTTGATATACATATCTTCACAAAATTACTGCTCTCTAGTGCTAACATTCTTCAAGCAAAACCGGGGACGGACAGACGGACATGACGAAACTATACGGGTTCCTTGTCAGCACTAATAAAAGCACAGTCAACGTCAAGTTTACTCATTAAGTACCTAAAATATTTTTATAAAGTCATTAAACATTAATTTAACGTATAAAGGCCTAAGTAGGGAAGTCTGTGTAGGGGAGTATGTGAACCGTATGTATATGGTGGGATACTTCACAAGGTGCAAGGTTCTACTGAAAGTGTACTGAAACTTTCGACTGCTTCTGAACTGTTTGCTGAGATACTTTAAAAATTGGTGAGTGGTGACGCTTAACGGCAAATATCTACAAGCTTAATCAGTGGACTTATAATACGTACCATAATTAGGTTCACGAGAAATATTTCGGTTCGATCCCAAGGTTCCAATATTATTTTGGGTTGTTCCGTATTTTTGAAGCGAATGGTTTTAAAGTTTTCTTTTTTCTCATACGCTCTCATATTGTCTTTAATATTTTTTGTTTTTTTTTTTAATTTCATTAATTTTCTGGCTTGTCTAGCTTATCGGAAACATAATACTACAGACTGCTTAATATTTTTATAATCAAGACCTCCTATTTAAAAAGTCGGTTATTAACTTATTATAAATATACAACTAGACAAACCTGCATACTTGCACGAGTGTTGCGAGTTTAGACATTTAAACATTTTGTGGGTGACACGAGATTTGTTTAATGCTTAAACTGTCCATAGTTAAGCTAGGGCTAAGCCCCTATGGGATTGTGAAACAACAATATTTTGTGAATCTATCACGAACAGCGCTGCGTTGTTTAAGCTGACATGGGTAATTTGATTCGTCTGCGCTCCACTGAAAATGTATGAAAAAAATACATAATTGGAAACATTATATATTTTTAAAGTCTATATATTTTACTATATAACAATAATTGATGTAGTATACAAAACCGTATGCAAATACATATTCCAATTTTAATGCAAAAGTAGGTTTCGATAACAAACATTGCACCTATGTAATTATGGCAGGTACTATATTATTCTTTGAAATAAAAAAAAAATTAGTTAACCTCTCTGAGTTAGACCGTAAGACGCTTTGAATAATGTAGTTCCCTCACGGTTACTGAGTCCACTCAACAGGTTATGCCAAAATTAAAGTTTTATATCTAAACTCCATAACCTTCATTTTGTCGAAAGCAAAGAAGTAAGTTTGTATCCAAATTCTGTATTCCAAAATTCATCAAAATCAGTTCAGTAACTAAAGCCTGGAAGCGTACAAATACACACATAGAGAGTTAGTTTTAAATTAATTTTAGGACATATAATAAAGATTTAAAAGGAAAAATCTTATAACATGTTACTTGCTTTATTTTATGTTGTTTTTTATTTGCAGATTGAGCGACAAATAGTGGCGATACCGCGCTCTACAAACAAGGAACGTATACAAGAGAACATTAATGTATTTGACTTTACTCTCACACCCGCCGAAGTAGCGGAGCTGTCAGGATTCAATAGTAATTATAGACTCAGAACCCCGGCCAAATGGTACACACACCCCCACTTCCCGTTCGAAAAGAAGAACCTTACTGACTCTCAAATAAAGTATATTATCGAACACAGTAAGGAGGATTAACATACCATGACACTGGCGTGAAGTTACAGAAGATATAAATTGAAATGGAATTTGTTTAATCACCACCGGAACTGAATGAGAATAAATACATCTAGCAGCGTACTGTACATTTGTGTTTATTTAATGCCCAGTTCAAACACTGACAATTCAATAAATGACATTGTTAATTACTTAAGGACTTTTATTGGTACTTTTCCCGAAAGCTGAAAATTCAGTCCAATGTTGTAATGAACGAGTCGGTTAAACCAGGTTATAAGTTAAAATATGCTTTAATCTACAAGCAGTTGTTAATGCAATAAAACTGGTAAAATCATTAAATAGTGCTTAATAGTGCACAGATGTAAGATTGGTGTAATCGCTCAGCTCGATGGAACAATAATTTTTGAATTGGATTGTGATTGCGATATTAATATAAGGCACTTGCATCGAGTCCGAATGGAAACATTATCATGTCAGCCGAACAACGCCTACAGCTGGGCATAGGCCTCCCCGAATGATCTCCATGATCACAAATTGTACCGTTAAGTTATATTTGGGTTCTGATTTTATTTTATTACTAGCTGTACCTCGCGGTGTTACCCGTGGTTTATTAGGGATATTTTTCCGCACTAAAACGTAGCCTATGTGTTAATCCGGGGGTCAGCTAACTCCATACCAAATTTTATTAGAATCGCTCCAGCCGTTTAGACATGATGAAGTAAGAAATATACACACTCACGCACTCACCAACTTTCGCCTTAATAATATTAGTGTGATTGCAGTAGTTACCTCCATAATTTGAATGCAAAGAAAATTTACAACCTGAAAAAAATCGACTAGTCTTAGTATTTTCACTCATCTCATCTTAGTTAGTATTCTAACCTGCAGCTACCATTTTTTAGTTAAGCTATGGTAGGTATGAGCTTGGACTTGTGTCCAAGCGTATTCTTTGCACTGCATTGTATTGCAATAAACGGTATGTTCTACGATTTAATCCTGAATACTAAAAGCATAGGTACAGAGACTTTTTGGCGGGATCGGGAAGCGTCACTTTAGCAGTTTTGTTTTTCTTGTTAAAAATTATGTTGTGGCGGATGTTAGTGTCTAATAATGGTGGATTATTAACCACTAAGTGTCCGGGAACATGCACAAGTATTGACAAGTGAAACAAAATAGCGGAAAGTGTCTTTCGACGGGGACTTGTTGAGGGACAACAAGTCCACGGGAGGTTCCAGTAAATCCCCACACTTTTACTAAAACATAGGGAAAGGAGGATTGGCTTGACTGCCACTTACTTTGACTTGATTTATTACTTTGACCACGAGTCTATATTATTTGTTTGACATTGGCTAAGTGTACAAGCCTTGCGAAGCCAATTAGAAAAAAAAACGTAAGTACCTACAAGGTTACGTTCGGATTCGAATGTCAATATAACTCCTTCACAAACTGTTAAAGACAAAGTATACACAGATGTCGATTCTGGCATGATTCTCGAAGCTTGTAAAGAAATTTATCATCATTCCCTCCTTTTCATTCTTGGTATATAGATAATGACAATAATCTGGCATTGCAGTTTATTTGTATTTATGTAAATGCTGTATTCATCTGTAAAAAATATATCATTAAGTATGGTATATAGACATATTTAAAATTGTAATGAAAAATTACATGTTGTTGGTGAATCTTTGTCAATAAAATAAAATAAAACGTTACGCTAAATAATGCAGCACTTGATTTTAAAAGCAGGAAAATCAGAACGATTGATATTTTGGCCTTGCAAGTGAATTTGATCGTAGCACCAAAAAAAATAAAGAAAGTAGAGGAGTTATGACGTCATATTTTTTGTATGGGTATTTTTTTGTTATGAAACCTATTTATTGTGTCATTTATCTTATGAAAGAGCTTACTGAGCCAATAAAAAAAATTAAAAGTATATAACACTTTTTATAAAAACAAGCTTTTATTTAAATGCGCTAAAATCCTTTAGAACTTTTACCATTATCTTATAACGTCATTACATAATTTACATAATATATAAGCTTGTCGCCAGATTTAAGTATGGATACTGATATTAACATAGTTTGAAATTGTGAAAATTTAAAATAAAATAAAATTTTGTTTATCTAATAGGTAAATCTCACGACAAGCTTTTTAATATAAGTTTGTGAGTAAAAGTTTTAAAGGATTTTTTAAGCTCATTTAAATAAACGCTTTTTTAAGGTTTTAACATGTACTTTTTACTTATTTGTTATTACTTGACATAATCGAGGCCTTCAAAAACCTCATAAATTCTTAGCAAGTTCTTACATTTGAAAACCATATTGTAAGAAAGTATAAAAAACTTAGTCCGCCATCTTTTTAAGTACGGCATATTGGATTTAAGGAAACGTCACTATATTTTTCGAGTTATTCATTTGATACCCATATTGTAGGAGTGCGTTCAAAATAAATAGCCCGCCATCTTGTATGTTCCGCCATATTGGATTAAGAATGACGTCGCACAGCTTACTTTACATTGTCATCCAAACAAAACGTGTGTACAAAATTTCAGTTCAATCTAATGAAGATATCTGCTTCAAAATTGAGTTGCAAGATTCCACCCAAACACACATACATACATTGCAAGTTAAATAAAGCTTTTAACAAAAATATCACATTAAATTACATTTCATCGTCGATCTACCGTTACACCAACTGCTTGCACTATGATTTCTCGTCTCACAAGGCTACCTGTCCAGCCCACTTGAGAGATGATGATTTAGGTTAGTTACATCTTTGATTTTACTTTGTTCTCAAAGCTATTTGCTTAGATTGCAGTCACAATCAATGTCACTGCTACCAGCATTCTATCTAAGAATTGTAACTAAGCCATTTAATACCCTTAAAGGAGCGCCGATATGACGAAGTTAGTTAATTAATAATATCTAGCTGTTTGTTCACAGTTTGTCATACAAGGAAAGGAAATACAAGTTTTTGAGCAGCTTGCTCAAACCCACATACTTTTACAAGAATACACAATCTCAATTGAAAAGGTTTAAATATAAATTTCCGGGGTAAGTACACAAAGAAAGAAACAAAAATGGTTTATTATAAAGTGAAAATATTTTCATTATAGCGACTAAATAAGATGCACCTCGTGTATTAAACTAAATAAAAATTTTAACAGGACAGGCTTTACTTTGTCTTGCGTTTTAAATTAATTCCGAGTGACATTAGAGTTTAGATATTGTTTTATCTATTTTACACAAAGAAAATCTGGGAGTTCTGGGACTGAAATAAAATTTAAGTAGACAGGTATTCCATTAGAGGCATATCTAAGATGAGAGTCAGAGAAGTCAAGCACATATTTTTGTAATGGTCAGTTATTAAGTTGAGACGTGCCTCCTTTTATAATCTTTGTAAAGACAAAAGGTTTTTATTATATTTGAGAACGTCGTGAATTCGTAGCTTTTGTTCACAGATTTTTATTTAGAATTATAAATTAAGAAGACCTGTTTTTTTTTATGTCTTATCGTGAAATCATGTTAAATTGTTTTATGTGTACACACTTTTTATGAAACCCCTTTAAATTTTAGCTAAACTTAATGTAAATAGAACAAAACTAAACCAGCCGCTAATTTTCTCGTGTCGATAGTAAATCTTAACGATCGGACCAGGCGAAAGGCTAGCAACCATTCACTATCATTTTAGGATAACACTTTAAATAGTTATGGTTGGTTGGTTGACTCGAGACTATACACAGTAACAAAGTTAACCAAATCTACGAATAGATTATAATGATAAAAACACTGCAGATTGAAAAACATGATAAAAGATACACAGTTCTCCATTACCCATAGTAATATTATAAATGGAAAGTGTGTCTATCGGTTTATCTGTTATCTCTTCACCCTTAAACCGCTGAGTCAATAGATCGATAGTTTGAGTCACGGGAAAGGACATAGGATAGTTTTTATTCCAGAAATTATCCTCCAAGGGAGTGAAAGGGGGGGAGAAACGTTGTATAGGAAGCCAATTTTTCCACGCAATCTCTGTCGCGGGCACTCTCTGGTATCAATATAAAACCCAAAAACCAATTTTAATATCCGAGCTTAATCTTAGATTAACCTCTTAGAATGAGCTTATGTAAATACCGGTGAACCTTAAATGAAATACGTAAAATTTCGCCAAGGAACGAACGTATCTGATAATTAAATAGCAACCTACGTTATCTCAAAGGAGTTGTGTTAGCCTTTTTAATCTTCTTAGCATTATGTAATTGAATTCTTTTAACCGCGGATATAAAGGAAAATACCGTTGCTTTATCTAAGCCCTCAAGCTCCGGGATAACCTAATTGATTCGAACACAATCTTTGATGCTTTAGAAGGAAGTATGTTGCGAGTACCCAAATAGATATTTTTATTTTATTGCATATTTTTTGATAAGGTTACATGTGATTATTTGATTTTGTTGGAGAGGCATTGATAAAATGCTTGTCGAAGATTTACCCAACATTAAAAGTGTTAGCGGTTAAATGATACCTATTCACATTCAGCTTCTTTACTGAATTTTTTTTTTCGTGTCACTCGTGTTTCTTGCAGAGACTATTAGATAAATTGCAACTATCCAAGGTATTTTGCGGGGTATCTATGATGTGAAAAACATTCAAGTATACTAAAATTCACAATTCTCTAATATTAGCAACGCACTGCAGAGTTAAATAGGCTACAAGGCATTTCATCTGAATACAATTGTATAGAATAATAGAACAGACAGAATCAAGATTTATTACCATATTTTTTTTCTGTTGGTAGGTACGGTTCCACGAGTTGAAAATTAATTGGATTCAAAGAGGCAAGGTGTCAAAACCTAGGTGTCGATTCTGCTACGGTAAAGTATTAATCGTGTATCATTGGCGTTCCTGCTCCCCTAGCATGAGCACCACGATATGATGTATAACACGTTTTCATCACGCTCAATTGTCAAATTACTATGGATTTTGTCAGTTAGGCGCGATAAAAAACGTCAAATAATGTAAATTAAGGTGCCTATGCTAAGGGGACAGTAGTCTTGATTTCTGACACAGTTATTGTTTCTATATCACAAAATCACAAAAATATATGCTGACTCATAAGTTATTGTTATCTATTATGCATTCGTTATTATATGGTAAGTAACAAAATCATTGTCAAAAAGGATACAATTGAACCA